CCCTTCACCTTGACTTGAAGGGAACATGCTCTGAAGGCAAGGTGGCAGCAGTATCTCCACTGCCATTAAATCACCACCTTTAGCTACCAAGCAAGAATAACATTTAGTAGCAATTATGACAAGGAAACCTTTCTTATGCCTGACACAATGCAGCCAATTCACACAAAGAAATAAAGATAATTAAAGAGCAAATTTTCACATTAAATCACACCAATCTAGAATTTGGAGACCGTAGTTTATGCATAAGATTCAAGTATGTACATCGACCTTTTTGTCTTTCCATTCCCCCAAGCTGCCCTACCCCTCAAGCATGATATTTAGAGGAGAATGACTCTCAAATTGCCACTGTCTTACTGAACATATTTTCTCCCTGAAATGCATTCAATTATCACAGCTTGTTCTGGTGGGGAAAAAACCCTACAGATATCGTTTTCACTGAACTGTATTATTTTTACCATTTCAGAACAAACTAAACAAGGGCAGGATGAAGTTCTGATCTCTCATCAGGAAGGATTACAGAAATGTTAACCAGGATAGAAATTAGGTATTTGGCCTACACCGGTTTTGTTACTGATGATCATGCATGACCTTGAAAGAACATGTCTAAGGCATTAAATCCTGTGCTGTATTGCCATGTTCTAAGTTTACTTAGTTACAAGTAAAACACAGGCATTTATACGAGTATTCAAGTTACAGATAACCATAAAGCCTGTGTTTTCTGTGAGGCTGAAAAACTTAATCCTGCGAAAGGATACACAAACTCAACACACCATCACGCACCTTGATCGTTGTAGCAACAGAATCGTAATGAAGCTCTGGAGAACTTTAGAAAGGGAGGCTCAGTCTTTCGCCAACCACTCCAGAGCAAGTATTTCAGAAAAATTTCACAGGAAACAAGATCAGTCTCTGAGCAACCTAAGAGCGCTGACAAAAGTCAATTTGCAGTTCAATTTATCCTTACTCCATGGCTTTCAGTATCAATAAAATCTTTTTATCTGATTCCTCAAGATCATCCGTTGCCCAATCCTTAAGAGCTGACAAACAGCACAGCAAATCTCTGCTGGCAATACCTTTCTAGGATAAAGATTAACAGTGCAAAAAAAGTGTTAAAAGTGCAATGAATGGAGACAAACCCAGAAAAACACGCCTTTAAACACAGCATATTATTTTCTGTTTGTATTATCCATAGAACTAAAAGGTCCTAGTGATAGCCCAAGATTCTACTATGTGGTAAAAGAATTTTCCCTTACTTTCCATACCCTAGCAAGATGATGTAGAAACACTTTCAAATAAAACAGAAAAACCTGAAGCAATCATCCTTCTGACACACTAACAAAATCGGGAACAAATCCCAAGATCCGTCTAACAATACAGCTGTAATCATTACAGCATAAAATTTATTTTCAACATGCTGTACATCCATCGCCACTAACTTTGCAGCAAGTAAAGGAGCCACAGACTTAGATGTTAAATCATAAATTAAAATGGAGTCTTTTAAAATATTCTATATATCTAAATCAAGGAGTAAAACTATATAAAGTGCAATATATAAAAAGCACTAACACTGAAATGTTGCCTAAACCTGCTTAAAATATCCCAGTGTAAGGTACCCAATATAATCTTACCACGTTTCTGCTCCAGAGCAACCCAAACAATCGAACATTCAATCAGAAGGATGAACACATCCACTGTGTGCAGAACGTTCCCAATTTTGTTTTTAAATCCTGGTAATGCCAAAGTAATGTTCTATCATGGAATATCAATAAAAGGTTCATAACATTAGCAGCCACCTTTAACACAATGTGTATTCCCTTTCCTTCAGTGCCATGCACAGCTTCACAGCCTAAAGCATTTGCTCTGTAGCCCATTTCCTTCTTATCCCATACTGCAGGAAGAACCAGGAATCACATTGCTACAAACCAGCATACAATACAAATGGCTTAAAAAGCTCTTCACAGCTATGTGATGTACAGTAGGCATCAGAGGATTTGACAATGCACCCTGTGAACCGCACAAAACCGCTGGTCTGTAGCCATAGATATTACCATAAGCCTCCCACCGTATTTCTTTTTAAGAACACAAAGAGATTTTTATGCTTTAGCAAGTTCAGACTTTTTAAGAACGTGGCAGACTGTTTCATGCTGAAATAGCCATTAAATTACCTGCTGCACATATCTGTCAGTGGTTTTCCACATGTAATAATACTCAATGATGCTAGTCAGCGACTTCCAAGGGAGCTGAAAAACATTTGTTACAAATTAAAGTGGTTCCAAGAAATTGCAATGTCCGCATCTTATTAAACACATGTTAAAATCAAGTATAGTTGATACACAATTACTAAAATGTGAATGCATTAAATACCTACATTAAAATCCATATGCAAATAAATACATATTACTATTAATAATACACAATCTTTCCTTATAGTTAACAAAGATGCAGAATTACAACAATATTACACATCCAAATCCAAATGTAATTTATTCTGTTTAAGCCATATGGTTAAACAAAATGATCAAAACAGAATCCAGATTTCCATCAGGAAACACAGAAGGTAGTATCTCTATTATAAAGTCTATCAGATGGAGAACAACATCAGGACTAAAATAAATCATCTTGACAAGACTGTGTTCGAGTCTTATGATAATTTTACTTTTAAAAAATACAATGGTTGTTCTACTTCGTTCACAGGTTTTTCAAGTCCCATAATAACTCAGCTGCTCATACAATATCACTAGTTTTCCATAAACCTCTGCATTCTATTAAACTATTAAAGACTCTTAAACAAGAAACAAAAGGATGCTAGGGACAAATGCTCTCTTGAGCAACAAGAGTGATACTGACAATGAATATTTCACAAAAACCTCTGTGCAAACTCAGGGCAAGTGATGATGATGATCATCATCATCATTTTGGGTGCACACGTTCATTGGTAAAGTGAAAATGTACTAGTCTAAGTTTAGGGGAGAAAATTAAGCGTACAGCAGCCATTTTTAATTACTACCGAATCACCTATTTAACTCCATACATTCTTTCTATCATTTAGATTAGTAATTCTCTCACAGAATTCATGCAATTTTTCTTCATAACCTGGAAACACACTACTATTTTGCGCTTGTTTTCTTCTAGAAGCATGCATTAACACCAATATTCTCTACTCTCCAGAAATAAGGATGATTTCTAAGAAGTCCCAGAAAATACACATGTGGAAACATCTTTCCAACCTTATTCACTCCACTTTGGGGCCTTCTCCATGTCCTAAGCCAAAAGAATAGGTTCCTGAACCTCTAATTACGTTCCTCAGAGCAACAGAGGAACACTGTACCAAGCTGCCTCTCCCAGCACGCAGGAGCTCACAGCCAATTTTTCAAGCTGCTTGCTTGCAGATACTCGGAGGAACTGAGTCTGGCTCCCACTTCTGCCTTTCAGGAGCTGGGATTCAGGTCCAGACTCAGCTGTGAAATCTTTTTAAGGCAGTGTACCACAGCGTGTAAATCCCTGGTCCAAACACTAGCAGTTTTGTCCATTTGCATTTAACACATAGCAGTGTAACAAATGCATAAGCTGATGTTGCAATAGGTAGCAACACGATTCGGTTTACTAAAATCCTTTTACCTTCTCGGGTAAATTATGCCTTAAGAGAAATCTGCCCAAGAAGAGGCCAGCAACGGGAACATGTGTTTGGTGTGAGGTGACAGATGAGCTGCTTCTCAGTCTCTAGGTCCACATTCTTCCTGGCATCCAGATGAAAGTCACCCCAACTACCTGCCATTGTCAACTAGTACATTTTAGCTTCTCCATATTTACTTTCTCTCCTGAACACTTATTAACACATTCATGCCACAGATTATGTTTGACATTTCTCTAGAAAATACTTTAATCTGTTTTAACTATGATTGTGACACCAGAACGTTCATTTACTCAGTAGGCATCTACAATTAAAGAAAGATAATTAAAGTGCTTGGACTGGATAACTATAATCCTTTTAGACTTTTGATTCATAACTCAGAAAACCTGCTTGACAAAATGGTTATGAATATCCTGTATTCTGTTTACCTACGCACTCAAATGACAAAACACTGTAGAGGCATGTGAATTTTCCAGAGGTGGCTCTGAACTGCCAGAGAAGCTGTAAACATCCATAGAATAATGTTCTCTCATTACCAAATTCTATTAAACGCTAATTGAAAGAAGAGAAAAGGACCATCTGCGTGACATTTTTGCAGGAGAAAATTAGCAAAGAGGTGTCAGCAGTACAAAAACAGGGAGAGGGAATTTTCAGTTTCTTTAGTTTCTTCAGGGTAAAAATGGACCACTCAAATCAGACCAGCAGGAAAAACTTAGGAATATAAAGTATCTTAAAATGAGTATGTTAACTTTAAGGCACGTTTCCACAATTTTCTGATGTTGGAAAACAGTTGCTCCTGTTCTCTATAAACGGTTCAAGTCTGATTCCCAAGGCCTTTCCTGCCATATTTGAGATATAAGTGTTATAAATTTGTGAAAACTGTTGATAATGAAAAACTAAGAATTAACAAGCATAACAGCTGCCTCTTACCATTAGGAAAATAGTTATGTTTGGGGAACATAAAATATTCAGTCTTCCATTCTGCTACCCTGGGATGTGAAGTAATCTGAGTACATCAAGTAAATTCAATTAACTTAAAAAGTTTAGGTTGATTAGGATTCACATAGGTTCTTAAAGACAGCAAAACCTCAGCTAATGAGCTGATGTAACAGTCGATGAGTCAACAGCTGATGAAAATGATCATTCAGAGGCTAGACTGGTAATTTGATGACAAATGAGCTTCTCCTGCCTATTAAAAAAAAGGTAAACTCCTTTACACCATTTAATTTATAATAATTGTCTTGCTTACTAATATTTAATGTTTATAGCTTAATGCTTGAGCTGCACACTGAATGTCAAATAGTGCCAGTTCTTACTCATTGCTGGAAAAGTAAATGAACCTGCCCTTTAGAGAGCTATCACGTAAGGGCTGCAACTGCAGCTGCCATGCCCTGCAAACCCGGGCCAATTCAGAAAAGGCAACTCCCCTGGCATATGACAACTCAAGCGCTCAGGGTACTACATAACCCTTCTGCTTCGGGAGACTGCTACCAACCACTTTCCACCATGCAACACGACAGTCTTGCCTGTACTGTAGCACCACTGCGTGACTGCTTAGGTTCGAGTTTAATCTCAGGCACCATAGGATTTAATTTTATCATTAGATCTCCTACGTGGACACTTGAACAAGTTAGCATGTACACTACCAGTGCGTTAGCTTCTTTGTCCATGCTCTTACATGGACAAAGTAAGACATCTTTCTTACTTTTCAATGACTAGCCACTGAAGAGAGGGATGGTAATAGATAAATGTATTCTCATAAAAAAGTCACTACTTAAGTATTTATACCTACCTCACCTTGCAGAAACTTTTCATATATCCATGATCTAGATCTTGAAGGACTATTTTAGATGATTACTTAAAACTAAATGTTTGTTTTCAAATCCCTGTACTTTTAGAATGCTACAAAGCAAGTGAGCACATGAATTTTACTCTAGAGAAATTAAGATATCCCACGATTACACAATGATTAATATAACTGAAACATCTCAAATTACATGGAATTAGATCAAGACTCTGTGCACTAAGTTGCCAATACCATATAAATTGATACGTAAAATAGATGTTCTTCTAGTGATGTTTTAAAAATGACATGCCACTTTTCCAAAGGTAAAAAAAAAGTGACTTAGGATAGACAACATCCCTGTTCTAACTAAATGAGACTATAATTAATTAGTGCCCCACATCCACTCTGACTCATCATTAATGTGCCCTGAGTAGGCTATGCAACCCTATCTCTAGATCTGTGCATGTCTCTCACTTTGGGAGGAGGGCAAGGGAAAATATCTGCATTTTGGGAAGGAAGATTCAGTGAAAGAGGGAGGCTATCAGGAGTCTACCTGAGATTGAACATTTTAAAAAACTTCGAATAGACTCACTCAAATATCTACCATTTGAACATTACAAACGCATAAGCGATTCCTGCAGCATGTTACTCCACTGTATCACTTTAGTGTATGCATATCAACAGAATTACATGTAACATAACACAGAAATTATATGGAAAATAAAAATATTACATAAGTACCAGACAAGGCTTAGGTATACTTGGTCACAAATTGTGCTAGGACTCAACTTGTAAACAGCCAATAAATTCTGTAATACATACTTTAGGCATTTTGAAAAGCCAAATACTATGTATTAGGGAACACTTAGTTAGAAGACATAGCTACTGAACTAACCTACAATTACAGCTGAGGACCACTTATCTGTATGAGAAATAATAAGGAATTGTAGTTTACATTAAGATTTCCATTCTAACACTCCATAAAATATTCTTTTCCACTCATATTTTCTTGAACTTAACAGAGCTATTTCATCCATGATGCAATTTTCAACCTTATCTGATGGATACAGTGTACATTTTCTCCCTTAGGAATCTCAAAATTAAGCACGCAAATATAAGACACCTGTTAAAATGTCAGTTCTTCAGAAAAACAATAGTCTTCCCTTCCCACCTTCATTCAATTACCTGTTGCATTTCAGAACTGTGAAAGCGAAGAAAAGACAGCTTAGCTCAGTGCCAAGCCTCCTCCCACTGTCCCGCACTCTATCTCGGAAGGACTTCTACATTTACCATACAGTACCATTTTCCCCTCACAAAGATTATTAATAACATCTGCGAAGAAAAAAAAATCTGAGCTCTCAGAGTCAAGCAGAATGAGATTGTTGTGAAAATGTTTCAATCGACTTCAGTCTTAAATAACGGAATTCCTTTGGCTCAAATCCTAACCTTTTCACAAGGCCCCATTTGAACTTAGTAGAACAAAGGAAATCTTTTTCCTTGAAAGAAAGAGACTCTCCGAGAAACATGCAAAAAAATTTGCAGACAAATTACTAGCAATTCCAACAATCAGTGTTACAATCAATTTCATTTCATTACTCTGCATTAGAATTCAGCTTTGCTGCCCTATAGTCTAATACTTCAGTACCAAGAACAGTGTAGTTAGAATATATTGGACAACATTTCCTTTACATTTCAGAAGTGCCAAAATACCTAATATGTCAAAATAACTCCCTGTAGTGCACTTTAAAAGCTATCTGAATATAAATTTCTCTCTGCTAGCCATAGAAGGAAACCCTAGCTTTCCAAAACCACTCAGGGGAGTCAGCCATGTAGCTGCTAATGAATTTCACTGGAAATCATGGAAAAGTTCTAAAAAGCTGCTGGAACTTTTTCAGACGCTTGTAAAGTTATTTTAAAAATCCTTAGCAAAACTCATCAGCATACGAGACATCCTACCTGGTATTAAACCATTAAACAGATAATCTTCTGTGAACATCTTTCCAAAGAATGCTACTGAACAAGAAAGAATATTGACTTTCATCCAGATAAAATTTATCTATCTGTTAATTACATGTATCAACTACACAGATTTCTCCTCTAGCTAATCTTCCAAACCTACAGAAAGCAGTTACGCTCACCCATGCAAAAACATAGTAACAGAAAAGCGTACTAATTTCATACTTACAAAGTCTTGTCGAATGTCATTGAAGTCCTTGCCATACTTTTCCAATGCCTCTTCAAATAAACTAGCTTCCGATGCTGACCACTCTTCCATTTCGTCTCTACACAAGACAGGCCCTCCAAGTGGCACTAGAACACTGATGGCACTGCTCAAATCATAGTTGTGTTTATGCAGTGTATCCATTGCATGAAACTAGCAAGGAGAAGGAGAGAAGAAAAACCATGTTTAAATAGACAGCAGCCCATTTCAGTTAACACAGATTCAATGTTGTTATTTTCTATAAGCCATGCAAGAATGCTCAACTAATGCTAAATTTAGAATCTATCTTGATATCATGGGTTTTCTGCTGTGGAAGATAAGGAAAATAAATTGTTTATTACTTAATTTGGGAAAGGAAATGCCTTAATAAAATGTCTACTAAAAATGGCATTAGTTTATTAGCTCCTGCAAATTACTAGCACACATTTCTAGAGAATCTTTAGTTGGTAGAAATTGGTTCCAAGTAACCCAGTAGAGACAGTGGCGTATATTGACTGAGGGGCCATTTTCAATTAACAGAAGTTCTAAACAGTAGCTAAATAGCTGTCGAGACATCTATGTGCTCAACATTCTCATTGCTGGGGAAGGAAGTCATTTATTGTTTTCATTATCATCATACCGAAAAACAAGCAAGATTTTTGTCCCTTGCTAAACTCTGCTGTCAGAGATGAGTAAATGAGGTTTCTTTGGTTACTTCACTTTCCTTTATAAAAGAGGAAAATAGAAAACAAACAAGTTATAGCATTTCACTTTAGAGGTAACACTGAACGCTCACAACCCTAACCAATGATGGGGAATATGAACAGTAAGCAACTACATTACAAATCCACCCGCAGGGAAAACGAGCAACATACAAGAAGCCTTTCTGACTCAGCGTCCCAAAAGACCCCATCACCACAATCTTAAATTGTTGTGCTGAAAGGAGGTATTAGAGGTATAAAGCCCAATAATGTGTGTGACTGTGTAACATCAGTCTCCCACCTATTTGTCCCACCACAGCGATGAGCTGTAACCGTAGCATGCAATCTCACACAGCCCTAAACTCATCTTATGAGAGGGGGCACCCCGAACCTTTCAAGGAAGGAACACTCTTCCATTATGTGTCAGTATAGCACTTACAGAGCCATTCCAGTTGAGCTTCTGCATACAAATGTACTGCAAATAATGCATTCTCCTTAGCTTTTGCCATCTCCTATAAGTGGCTAAAGTCTTCCTCCAGCTTTCAATATACCTCTTTGAAAGCTATCAAGCACAAGATTCTTGAACTGTTTTGTCTGCAAGAAGTAATGTCACTATTATCCTACAATATGTCGTTTTACTTACGGTTCAAGTCGAATTCACCACCCTTGAGAAAAAGCCATTGTTAAAATTAAGTATTCTAATATGAAAATATGTAACAATGTCTAAAATCCATAATCTTTAGATTAGAGAATGTAAAATGAAAACACTGGTTTATTGCTTATCATTCAGGCAATGAGTAAACCAGGCCTAAAGATTGAACTCTTACAGTATATGTGTTACCAAGGTTTAAATCTTTGTTTAATTGCAGCCCCTGTGGAAAAGCAGTACATAGGTCATTTTCCAAGCAGCTGCTAAATCCGCATCTATGCACTGATACCCACTTTCTTAAAGATGACCATAGAAGTGAATAAATCAGGATCTTGCTCTTGCCTTATGTTCATTTTTCCATCTATAGTAAACTTCTGATTCCATAAAGCTTTTGTTGATATTACTAAAGAAAAGATTCATAATGAACTCTGTGGATAAGTACTGTCTTCACTGAGCTGTTCTGTGACAGAAGACCACTGACAAGTTCCCACGATAACAACTGTTTGCCTTCTGCAGGTTTGTCAGCCTTCACCTGCAGTCAAATTCCCACACTGCAGTGAGTAAACTGTGCTAGCAAAAGCAAGAGCAGCCTGAAGACATTACTAGAGTCCAAGTCAAAAAGTCGTGGAGTATCTCCTTTTTATCTGCTTTACCCAAGGATGAGAGGACTGCAAGAAACAACTAGTGGGTACCTGATACCTAAAGGAGCAAGAGGCTGGGAAGACCTGGTGTTGCCTCTCCCAAACAGGAGCTTGAAGGACAGAGGAAGAACCACCCTTCCCTAAGAACTCTTGCTCAGAACATACTGTCCAGCACAGACGAGGGGTCCCACCAGAGGGAAGGTATTAGCCACACAGATAAAGGGAACTTCAAGTCCAAATTTAAGCAGGTAAAGGCAGAAAGTATCCATCAAAAGTGAAGGAAGGGCTGCATGGAGCTGGGAAGAAAGGGAATGACAGGGCATGCTGCAAACAAGCTGTAACATGCAGTTCCCAAACCAGCTGCAATTTCAGTAGTCAGTTAAATCAACTAGACTGAACTGCCTCCAACAAAGCACTCAAACTGGAAATAGAGTATGGATTCCATAATTCAATAATATTTTAAGCATGTTTATCTTAGGAGCCACACATATGGAAGTCTAATAAAAAAAATCATTAAAAAGACATCATTCAAAATGCAAAGGAAAAACCTGTTCACACTTTTCATTTTGAAGAGACATCAAAAACTACATTTACGTCCTTACAGTAAAGTAGCACGGGCTCTTCCAAACAAGCCCACCACAAGGAGCAAGCGATTCCATCAACCTGCTTTGCTTTAATGGCTCTCATCGTCAGTGAATGCACTACACAATGTTTAGGAATCTGAAACAGGAAGCCTTCCCAGTTTCGTTCTCTTCTCAGAGATCAATTTGCATTATAAAATAAAACACTGCCTCTGAGAAGGCCAGAAATGCAAGTTTCAGTTGGCTGTTTGTCTCACAAGTCTTTATCACTGTAAGAAAAGAACATGTACTATCATCTAAGAAGGTAAACACACATTGTTTCATGTCTTCCACTAGGGTTTTCTAAAAGCATTGGTAGTTTCCTGCCTTGTCTCATTACCTTCCCCATGTTTTCAAAATAAAGAAGCCTGAAAGTAGCCTCTCACTTGCTGTTAAGCTACAAGACCTCCCTAATGTGTACATCCACTGTGAATTTACTCATGTGTATAACCTATGCATTTATTGTATTTTTTCTTTTCAGTATCAGTCTGTTTACAGTCATCTCTAATTGAAACAACTAATTAGGAATACTGGAAAGCCACAGGTGTGGTGTACAGAAATCCCATCAATAGCACTTCACGTGCAAGGGTTATCTGCCTTGCATTAAGAATACAGACAGTATAATTTTCTTAGTGTTGGGCACCTACATCCCTTCCAAAGCACCAATGAGATACACCGCAACTTCTGCAAGCGTCTGTACTAACTTTAACTGCTGCTCAAAATATGCTCCCAATTAACATGGCAATGTCTGAAAGAGTAACTACTATAATGACAAATATGTCTTTTCTTAACTTTGAAGGAAGTACGTTGCCAAAGAGCAAAAGAGAGGGTTTTAAAAAGCTGAGGGGGTAGGAAAATGAGAACAGACAGACACAATAATTAAACCTGGGGTGGCTCCTCTGGTGCCTCATTATAAGATATGCCTTTCATTAAGTGCAATGGCACTCAAACACTAAGTGTATCCCTGTATCAGCAGCACCGCACATGTACTTTCAAACAAGAAGAAATTGCTGTAAGGATGAATCTATTCTATTAATCACTGAATACAGTAAGAACGATGCGCAACGTGTAGGATTTATTAGAAATTCTTAATCCAATGAAATCTTAATAAAATGAAAAATGTTAAACTAAAGAACTATTTTGATGTAAAAAAATAAAGCATTTAATGTGAACAAAATTGTGTTGGTAAGGTCGTACCGGCAAGTGTGAAACAGAAAACTCCTTTTGAGTACTACCGAAAACATTACGTTTTGCCACTGCCTTTACTACGCTACCGTAGTCCAGATTAAATCAGTTTCCTGTTTAATAGCCTTTGAGTACACTGCAAAACATAAGAAATTAAATATTTTTCTCATCATACTAAGGAATATATTTTATCTGGAATGTAAGAACTGCCCTACTGCATCAGACCAGTCATCCATCTAGCCAAGCTTTCTGTCTCTGACAGCTGCACCAAGGGATGTTACTTAGAGAAAATATGCAGGTAAGCCTAACCACAGTCTGAGGTCAATTCCCATTTCATTCACCAGCATCCTCAAACCTTGGGAATTAGGAACGCTAGATGGTACACCTCTCCCTAGTCTCCTCGGTACCCATTTATGGAGCCATGGTCCGTAATTTTTCTAACCCCTTTTTAACCTGCTGATATTGTCTGTTCCCACAAAATTTTGTGTAACTAAATTCCAGGGGCTCTCTAGCCACTTTATAAGGCAGTACCTTAACTATTTTAAAGTGATCTGTTAGTTTCATCGAGTGTCCTCTAGTTCAAATACTCAAGTATCTGATGAATAGCAGATCTACTTTAGCCTTAACTATCACCTTCACGATTCTGTACACAAATACTTAAAATAATAAACAACAACCACTGATGCCTTTGGAAATCTAAGTCAAACTTGATTCTACAAACAGTAACATTTTCTTGTTCTCACATAGTTTTCCTGGCACGCTTTTATTACTGTCTTGTACACATCTTGTCATCTCAACTAATATGAAAATACAGAGACAAAACACTGGTCTGTAATTAATATATTTTTAACTTTCTCTAAAAGATGCAGGTGCTTACATTACAGTGAATACTTTAACAGACTACGGAAACATCCTAAGGATATCCTAAGTAAAGTGTTCTTCAAAAAGTTGCCTACAAAGTCAGATGGCTTAACCTTTAGAAAATTTACTGACACACATACCTAGTAAGTACAGAATATTACCTAAGCAATTTTCAATCAGCTTTATTACCACAAACTTTAAATCACACTATTGATCAATTATACTGAATGAATCCCTACACAATGTGTACTATGCACTCTGCTGTGCAAATTATCACATACGAAGATATTATATTTAAATAGATTTCAGCTGAAGTCAAGTGATTTACAGTATGATTACAAGGGCAGCACCAATAAGCGTACAGAACCAATAAGCACCTTGAACGCAGGTATCTAAAGGAAATCAGATATCCGGAGGGCAGGGACTCTGGAGTAATAGATACTGTTGAATTCACAGATATAAAAAAAAGTTGTAGGGTTTTTAAGAAGCCACCTACCAGTGTGATGTCTCGGGAAGCAGCAGCTGCACTCATGTGTAAACTAGGTTGCCTGACAGAACTACTGCAGTCCAATGCTCGAGCAAACGTGCCGACCGCACTACAACAGAGAAACAGTAGACAGTAAATGCACAGAAAGATGTAACCTCTTTTTTATTATCAGACTATGTCATAGCTATAGAAGTGTCCTTTTAAAAATAAAAGTCACATATTCTTGCTCTTAAGATTTCAGATCTTTGCTAACAAAGGACAATTTGATAAATACAAGTCAACAATTCTGACCTCCCAAAAGTAACAACCTACATGTAAGAACAACAGCACAGAAACAAAAGATACTCATAGAATTCTAATGTACCAAGTTTTTAATGTACCAATTTTTTATTAATGATGAAGTCAAAGATCTTACTCAGTTTGGGTTTTACAACCGTGACTATTATTTTTAAAATCATAAAGCCACAACACTGTTTATCAAATTACCATACAATTAAAAAAGGGGGTTCACCATGTTCCCGTGAGGATATTAGTAACATTTTATTCACTTCAGTAATGCACGTCTACTACTTCCATTAGCGAGGCAAAGAAAGCATATTAGCTTAGTCTAAGGTACCTCCAAAATCACATTTTTGTCACAGGTTTTAAGTAATAATGAAATAGATGGATCTCTCAGCCTACTTAATAAAAGCATTCTAGCATTATTGAAATGGACACGTTTTTCTCCAAACCTTTACCTTTTTTTTTTTTCCACTTTTGTTGACGAATTGTACGTGGCATTTATTATACGTACCAGAGAAACAAAAGATAGTAAAGATGGAGAATTAGGGTGATAGCGACTGTTCTAAACTGCGAACTTTTCTTGGAAGCACATCTATGTATCATGCACAGTGAAGGGAAAGATGCGCAAGAGAATTTGACTGGGCTCAGCGTATCACACAGATACAGCGACATGTGAGAAAGATTATTCATTAATAGAATTTGCTCCAGTACCCTGAGTTGCCTAATGACTCCTGAGGCGCATTGTGTCACTATGATATTAGAAAAAAAAAATTATGACATGATAGAAGTCCTTCTAAATTCAAAGACCCAACTACTCAAGCTAACATTTTTTAATACAGCCTAAGCCTCTGGACTAAGGACTGGAGCCTCATCACCAATTACACTCCACACAAGTTATAAGTGCAGAATTATACCAATGAGGAATGTCACTGACAGATCAACACACTGAAAGTGTCACATTACTGTGTACTATAAACCTGATATTCAACAATAAAATAATGTGCATCAAGAGTTTAACTCACTCAGGTGTGTTATTGATTGTGGAGAAACTGGTAATAACACCCGTTATTGCAATTTTATCTTTAATCTCAAAACATTTAATACTGAATCCATGTTTCAGTACTTGCTGCCAAAAACTTCTCAGACACAGTTAAGATTCAACAGCAGTGATTCCCACACTCCAGATATTAACTGCTTGAATTTCTGAAGGCTGTGGAATAAATAAGTTATATTCAAACGTTGCTCCACAACCTTTGCTCCCTCTTTGCAGAGATGGCAAATATGTGACAAGAACACACACACACACATTCTCTTTTCTTTTTTAAAAAGTTTGGCAGTACATAAAACAGTATTTGCCCGCAAGTGAGTCCCAAGAATAAGGCTCTATTGTGAACACATTTCCTGATAGTCAGTCAACCCCTTTAAACATGTTGGCATTGATAAGGGTTGTACCTAAATAGTCTTTCCTGTGATCTTTCTGTCCCTACTGTTCAAACCAGTAAAGCAGCATGTGGCATGACTGTATTTCCCTTCTGCTGCTACCTACTAGCTTCTTATCTTCCTTTTGCATAATTAACACTATTTTCTTTTGACCATATTTCTAAAATAAAATCAGTGTGCTATGAAAATTACAAAGAGCATGTCCTTGCAAGTCACTCTCTGGCACATCAAACTTTTTAGGCTGACTTCAGAGCCCAAACATATGTGAATTATGTTGCCCAGTATGTAAAGTAAAAATTAAGACACAATATAAAGCTAGGTTTATTTCAAATAAGTGATAAAGAGGTAAGAATTGATGCACCAGCTGAGATCGCTTCCAGTGCTGTACCAAGTAGGTGAGGATCGCAACCGTCAGAGGAATGCTGCGTGGGAGCATGGAGCACCTGACTGCAAACCAAGTAAGACCCACCATAAAACGCAGGCAGTGTGCCATCTTGAGGGGGAGGACAGGGGTGTGGGTGTCTGTGGCTGCATGTTGAAATCAACGTAACTTCCAGTTCACCGTTCCGTGGAAACTTCTGAACAACAGTGATTTTTTCAGACAATCCAAGTAAGTGTAGGAATTCTAGTTAAATAGTAACCAGTCTCAAAACTTAACAGTGATATACAGTGCTCTGTATAATCTAGCCATGCAATCCAAATCCAAAATTAATTTTAGAAATCCTTAAAAATACCTTAATTTTTATGTTTTTCCATTTAAAATACAGATATGAGGAACATACTGATACAAAGGTCAAACATTTCCTTTGTCATTTTTCCTTGCATGATTTTTTTCTAATAATACCACCAAAAAATTATTTTAAAAATATTAAAAGAAAAAAAAACAACAACTAACTAATGCCCATTGCCAGAAGACACACTATTGTCTTCACCTACCTGCTACCAAAATAAAACTCGGTATTAAGCCAACGCAGGCTGAACAGTCAGATCCCAATTACTTTTTTCTTTTAAACAGACTCTTTAATATAAATGTTCCATTAATTTGGCAGAATCCAAATAATAACTGTGAATATTTAACTGAAACCATATTTAATTCAATAATAACAATAATAAACTCACGTAACAAAAAAAAAAGTGCTCAGCAAGCTACTTACAAATTCGTTATTCAGCGAGTAATTAAAGTACTGAGACTTCAAACAGAAACCAACACTCCCCACACCTCCCAAAGTAAGCTAAAGCCAAAAGGCATACAGACACTGAATTACACAGGTGGCAGAGAGATGGACAAGAACGATAAACAATTGGTGGTATCAGCAGAGAGATCACTTTGCACAGGCTGTATCAGCAAGCAGGTATAACAGCTTTAAGGGCTAGACCAAATGATCCAGTGTTACCTTAATTAGGTTTTCCTTGTTTTAATTATCTTAAAGACCAGAACCAAGAACGTTCTCTCAAGGACTTATAACAGAGATTGCAGCTGACAACCGTACAAACATAAAACAAATCAAGATAATGCGGTGTCAGGATCTAAGACTATGGAATAAACCCACAAATTCAGCAAAACTCAACAATATGTATGTCCAAAAAAATGTGACAGTGAACTCTCTAGGGATGCAGTAGCTCATTTTCTTGTGCCTGTATGCCCTACATTCAGGCAAAACTTCAGACTAGGTATTGAACACAGAAAATAACATTGCTCCAAATTTCTTGTAACTCAAGTCTAAGTCATTAAAGGAAGTAATTGTTCAGATTTTTGCATAAGATTAGTATTAGTGGCAGCCAATGAAATTATGAAGCAGCAAACGCAGGAGACTGTCATAACACATTTCTAAAGATTGAATTGCTCATCAGTAACCAGTTCTGAAAAGGGATGTTATTTACCGAAGAAAATCTGGAACCACTGCGATAATACATCAGGATAAAAATAGTCAGTAGTCTCCCAGGTAGCAACAGCAGTCCGGCATCAAATCAGATCCAGAAAGTTCTGGATCCAGGCCAGTGACTCTCCATTTTCTTCTACCTTGTAGTCTCAAAAATCCAGCTGAGACAGAGATCCTTTTTAATCTGCGGATGTTTATTTTAAAATTGTTCATTTTTATACATTGTTTCTCTGTTTCAGTGATACGAGCTGAGTAGTGGGTATACTCTGGACAAATCTGTTTGAAGTGAACCACCTCTGTGCATACATGAATCTGCAAATTCACAATTTTCCTCACATATTTGCAAACTAATGAGACCTACACCTCACCTCAGAGTTAACATTTTTGAGGAAAATAATTAAGTGGATCTTTGGTGGTTTCCTATGTATTAGGAAGCTTTTTGTTTTCCTTATTATTACATCAATGTTCCTGTTCACTATGAGTTGGAAACGGTCCTAAAAGACGACCTCTTAGACTGCTATCAATAACAGCATTTTACAAACAGCCAATTAATGTCTGATTGCTCCTTAAGAGAGTCTCATGACACTTAAAATCTTGGAAAGAAGAAAAAAAATACTTCTTCAGTGGAGATATATGTCACCAGCACAATATTAATTAAAGTTGAAAAATACCCCTGAGATTTTTACTACTGGGTAATGCAAAATCTGTCATGAAGAACATATTCACAGCAAAATGATGCTGTTCCAGAAGACACATTTTCCTTGCATTTCTAAGTAACTGTCTGTACAGTGCTATGCTTCGTTATTATCACTTCAGATATTTAGAGTGCAAAGGGAGATGACATAATAAACATGAAAAGTCACCTGCCACTATTCTTTCTCTGAAAGACTCAAAGTTAGAGTAGGGGGTGGCATTATGTATAATGTCCCCTACGCACCACAACTAACCTTCAGTTTCATTACTAAATGAATAGAAATGGAACATATGTGAAATCTTTATTATTCAACAGAAATAGAATCTGATACATACAAGTAATTTAGTTCACAGGATATGATTTAAGCGATCATCTGTACTCCATCCTGCTATTTCACAGTCACAGAAGAGCAGCTTTACAGCCCCCAAAAAGCAGGTCCATGAAAACGCTGCTGGAGGAATTTTTTCTTTATAATGCAATAGATCAAAATTCATTAAAAAAGATGCAAAAAGAAATTCAGCTCCAAGTCTGAATTAGTTGTTTTCAAATGATTTCAATTTCAAGAAAAATACAGTAACACAAAATGCACAGAGGAATAAACATGTGCCAAGGCGCCAAGGAACAAACATGCCAAGCATGACAGACAGGCAGAAACACAGTATTTTTGATACTTCTAGTAAACTTGATGTGAACATATTTTTCCCTTTTATTGCCAAACCATCTGCCTACCATTAGATGCTGTAATTCACCTTGCTAGTAAACATCTGATTTTGCGAGTGCAGCTTATGCATCAAGATTTTTCACCATCTTTACCACGTAATTTTATGTTACAATTCTGCCATTAAATTTCATTACCTCTTTAATGAACTCCAATTCCTCTTACTTCTCACCACCTAAAGAGAATCCAGAAGCACACTAATATTGAAGCTTTCAAACCAGTGACTTTTATGCATTTATTTTCATTGATGAGCTTTAGGAGTCTTGTCTACTGCCACTGACCACACTGAATTATTTTACAAGAACAGAGTATTACTATTTGAGCACACTTTTAAATGTTTTTACTTATTGTTCTCAGTTGATGAGTGTATTCTTTTCCTTAATATGATGAAAGATACTTTGCTAGTTGAAGCTGCATTCTGGTCCCTTCCTCACTGTAAGATAAATTCGTGTAACAAATAAACCTCCATATACCATGAGCACTTATATAACTAAACCAATGGTAACCAACAGAAAATTAGTATAATAACTGTCTTAGAGAAAATGGAAAAGTGGAAACAACACAGGAAGGATCAAGCTCTAATTAAAATGACTAAACATGTAATTTTCCATTCTTCTGTGATTTTAAATCAAAAAATAACCAGGCATTCAAATGAAGAGAAATATGTTATGTTAGCCAGAGGTATGCAATGCCATTTTAATTTCAAAGTAGTCAAAGTACAAAATTTTAAGGTAGAGATGCAATGCTTTAAGGCTATTTTAATTAGCCTTCAAAACTCTGTTTTAGTTGGAAATAAGCTGGGACTACAAATGTCTGGAAAATAGCTTGATTTAGAGATATATTCCTTCCAGGAGACTATATTGATCATCTACTTAGTTCTTTTATTCTGCTTCATCTAAGTTGTTAACTGTTTCACTGCATCATAAAGTACATAAACGGAACTAGAATGTACCAAAAACATATCATGTAATGAATTATAGACCAAATTAGCAGATGGAAAGAAAATGAAAAAATATGGGTCAGGTCTACAGCTCTCAGCATCTGTCCAGACTGGAGCCCACAACTCTTACCACATCTGAGTCAGGTCAGGACCATTTTCAACTCCTTGACAAATTAAAAAAAAGACAGGACTATTATGTTATACACACAGCAGGAAAGTTTCTATTTCCTAATACTATGCCACTTGGAACAGTTAGAAAGAGAACATGAGATCTCACAAGGAAAGGAAGTGTTCCTTGTATATTAGGAACGATAGACACTGATGACTAGAGAAAACAGGGTGCATCTATATCAGTGTTCCAGTTAAAATTAGGAATGGCGTTTCAAAGCAACCGTCCCCAGGCATCTTTATTCACTGCACTTTAACCAATGTCTGTAGCGTACAAACTGGATTTCTGTTAAGTTAAACAGTAGTTACACATACTCATAGATATTTAGTTCACAGGACCAAATCAGAGTTAGCCTAAAAATAAAACTGCTCAAAATGTGCATAGTATGGATGCTAGGTCCTCAGCACCATTCAATTCTACAAATCCACTTGTACAGTATTGTACTATTTGCCAACGTGGACAGATCTAAACTGCTGTTGCAGCTTCTCAGAGTCCTGTTCTTTGAAGCTAGCAGACACAGAAGAACTGTTGCCAATATATATGACAGAACAAAAACTGGTTGATGTTCCTGTACCCTACTTGGATGGAGTAGAAAAATAGTGTTGAAATTCTCACTGCCAGAGTATAAATGACAGTGTGTTACCCAAAAAACAACTCAAAACCAGAGTACGTTAGTCTGATGCCTCAAGCTTCTCCTAACAGATGCTTTTGCTAGTTCAAGCAAGAGGCCCTTGCCCAAATTATGCTTCAATAGTAGCAATAAGGTATTTTCAAGATTTGTAAATCCACGGTCAAGCAAGACTACTTAGGTAGCTCAAGGTTAAGCATCTTTCCGCTCAAGTACTCTTACGCTTTTTTTCAAAATCTCCATAGATTTTTCTGGCACTGCTACTTCCGATTTCCAGACAGGATAGGCATATTCTTCTACCTTTATATCCAGCAGATTATTGCATACTAGGGCCTAGTGACAGGCCCAGACTGACCAAGCATATAAACCTAGAAAAAAGCCCTCTCGTTCCTGAGCCAGTAAACAAACCTTGTAAGACTGGGAAAGCCACATGCCCAAGAATATAAATGTTCTTACAAATGGCCAATGCAAATAGAACACCTTCTAAAGAACCAACAAAGTGTGCTCGTGTGATTGAAAAAGCTGAAGTCTATAAGGACAAAAGCAACTCTTCCTTCAACCAGAGCAGACTGAAAAAACTGAGAAGAAATACTCAATGCCTTTGATGCAGCATGTAAAAAGGATCATGTGAAAATGCTTTTCAAATTTCAAATACAGATAGCATACACACACTTAACCAAAATCACATACACGAATGCATTTAGGAAAAAGCTCTTATTGTCAGAATTTCAAGTCTGCCAAACTAAACAGAACTTCCAGGAACCTGAGAAATACCATTCTCATTGGAAACCCAGCAGGCACAGCCAATGCCCAGTGAACTGCAGTTAGGCCACAGCAGAGCTATCTTCTGAGTCTGTAAGCACCGTTTACCAGATCGTGATACCAACTCCACTGTTACTCAAGCAGCTTTTAATGGTCTAGTATAATGAAAACCTTTACATTCAAGCACACAACATACTGAATTTAAAGCTGCCACAATCATCACAGGAGAACTGTTTCTCCAGAAATTGGTGAAAATCTGTGTCAGAAGCACTTAATGCAACAGAAATGTGATCTTGCAGCCTGTGAATACAAGTATATAGGAGCTTGGAAATAGTTTTTGTCAGTTCAAAAGCAGCTTACAAAGATGAATGGAGTTTTGTGGAAGAACATCAAATAAAGTGGTACCTGAGTACTATCCGATTACAGATGGTCATTAGTGATTGCCTACCACAAGATCTGGGATAGCTTGTTACAATTAGTCAGCTATGACCAAGACCCATTCCTGCCATAACAGAAACATTTTTACAGAAATTTATCAACTTCTAAACAAATGCAATCTTGGTCAGGGCACAGCACTGCACAGGATGTCTTAAATAAGGGGACAAAGAGAGAAGAATGTTTTTCTCCAAAAATTTCATTTATTCTCTGTCACTTCCCAGTAGACTGCTTACTGGTACGCTCCTCTGGGAACATTTTCAGCTTCACAGTATACTACTTCAGCTCCCCAGAGCGGCTGCAAAATGGGGAGTGGAGGGATGTGAAGGCAATGAATGAATGCCTCAAAAAAGCATGTAATCTTCACACAGATGGTATTTTTAAGGCACCCCTTAACGGTCTGCCCACACACATCCAGGTATTATATTGCTGGTGACAGAAGTAGTTCTGTTTTCTGGGTTCTTTTCTATGGAGCATCTACCAGGCACTGTGATCTTCTGAATAGATGCATGTTCACACCTATACCCCTCTGGCTTGCTTGGAAATTCAACAGGGGCAGGCAATTTTTGCCACTGTATAGAAAGGATACAGCACTACAAAGTAGGGGAGAAAGAAGAAACCCAGGTGGATCAGCATCTGAACTGTAAAACAATAAATCTGCAACCCATTTCACCATACACAAGCTGGAAAATATAAAGCAACGTCTCTATTTCCTTCCTGAAATGCTTTGTTCAAAAGGGAGAAAGAACAAAGAACAGAAATTGGAAACAATGTAAAAGGATTATTTGCCTAAGAAGACTTGAGACTATACTCTGCAACTAGGTTACAGAAAATACAGGAGATGGAGTGATTCAGGATAAAATCCCTACATTAGCTGTGATTAACAGTTCTCTGCCATCATTAGAACAGTAGCTTTGTACTATATTTGTAAGTATCAATTACAGGACAGGCTAAACATGCTGTATCTTATGAGTGTAGAGTTGTCCTTCAGTAAGAAGTCTACAGAGTTTTGAATTTTCTTTTTTTTAAAGTAATTATTTTTAGAGGTATTTATGAATTCCAAGGGCTTTGATGTTCCTGTCATAAATCTGCATAATCATATGTTAATTTATAAAATTGAACTGACCAGATTTTTTTCACTAATGAAATGCATCACTTCAAACCTTTTATTTCAACATTCATCCAAAATAATTGCACTGCATATTATTCAGCTTATATGCAAATTGGGCAAGTTCTGCATCCATTTCATTTGTTAATATTTTCTTTATTTCTACTCTTAACTTTATATTACACTACGAAATTCCAAGTACTATAGTGCAAGACTGAAATATTAGCACTGAAATCCTGTTTCATTTACTCTGAGGGGAAAACAGACTGATGTCTACATTTAAAGTATCAAATTCTACTATAACCTGAAATACAGGCAGCGCAGCATTATTCCAAAACTCACTCTTTTTCTCTCTTCTGTACTGGTAGCTTCAATAAATGTGCAGAAGATTATGGTCTGATTTTCTCTTTTTGCTAACTGTGGGAAAGAGAAGGGCTCACAAAATGGCAAACAAGTTGGGTAACACGATATAGGGGAATAAATAGTCAGTAGGAAAAGGAAAAGGAATTTTTTTTATTAGAGGATTTTAATCTTACCGTGCTACAACTAAAAACTGGTCAATCTGACGGTCAGTAAGGGGGCTATCTGGATCCCATACTTTTACTTCCAGCTTTGCCTGTTCTCTGTCATCTAATTCTCCTGTCAAAAGGTAGATGGGACAAAACACTTATTACTCACAATGTTTTTCTCTGTGTTTTTCTTGTACTATGTTTAAAAGAGACATTTCACATTTTTAAACACGCACACACAGCACTTAACAATCAGCAGTTATCCATTTAAATTCCATAATGCAGCATCAGTAAAATAAACATCTTCCCTTAACATCAGCATTTCAGTTTAAAGGAGGCATTCTTAGGAGGTGCAGTATCAAAGAACTTTAATAAAATGTGATTATAAACTTGAAACCATAACCTAAGTAACCAGTGGTTTCTTTAAATTGCTTCCCAACTATACCAGGGAATACAATTGCTATTCCCAACAACCAGTTGAAGCCATATTAATTTTACACTTAACCAGCTTTAGCAATTAAGTTCTATCCAGTTTGTATTGTCTCCAAAACAAAAATCATTCTAAAAAAAAGCTACTACATTTAATTACTTTTTTCACCTCTTGCTCTCAGCCACTACATTATCTGTATTGTTAACACAAATCATAACATTAAAATTGCTGTGTATGTTGACTAGTTATATCCTTTTATAAAGTAATATATAAAGCTACAGCACAAGAAAGTTACTATATGCTACATCATGATTTCCCAACTCCATTTGTCCGAACAGAGCAATTTGTGTACATGCACGCAGTCAAAAAAATGGTGGTGGTCTAAACAATGGTGGTGGGTCTCCGAAATTTAATTTGCCCTGTATTCATTTTTAAGAGTATGGCATTTGTACCGCTTGGAAGAACAGTGAAGTGTGAAGAAGCTACAATGATTCACGTTCATATGGAAGCCTAAATCTTGGCTTGACTACTACACTAATAACTTCTACTGCAAAATGAGAAACATCACAAAGGCTGATTAGGCAGGCAACACATATTCTACTAGTATGAGAAGATTTACCTATGGGATGTGGCCAACACACTTGGGGCCACAACAGATGACAAGAGCAAATTAGAATCATTGTCTTTCCTTGGTGTTTTAGAATACGAGCATGTTCTTCCTTCAGTGAACACGTGAAGAACTCCAATGTTTAGTCGGATGCCAGTACTTTTATGAGATAGTACAAGAATAAAAACCTGTTCTCAAATACAGCTGTTCCATTTCCTTGGGAAATCTAGGCTGTGTAGGTACCTCTCTGAGCACACAGATCACTTTAGTCTGTGTTATTTCTTATGACTTAATGAAAACAGCCAGTCTAAACATGCATAGTATCAACAAGACATGAAATAACCTGTACACTTAAGAGTCTGGAAGCTGAGTGCAAACCAAGCACTAGCTTTTCTGAAATCTGATCGTATACATCAAGTTTCTCTAGCACATTCATTCTGGAAGGAAATGAAAGTGTAGTATATATTTATCCCTACCAAATACACAAGTTAGAATGCACCATGCTGTCTGGCTAATGTTTCAGGAACACATTTCAGTCACATTCTCAGAAAAATAAAGTAAATTACTTTCTTCTGATACACTGGCAATAAAGAATTGTCTGCCTAATGGAACTTACGCTTCTGTTTAAGCTAATTCACAACCAGTACTGGAGACAAAGTGTTAATTTCTGGCAATCTTGGGTAGGGTTTTAGGTCTATAAACTTATTGAATGGACTACACACTTGTCAATACACTCATTTTTTCCATCTGTGACAGACACATTGCGGTTGATGTTCTACATTCTATAAGTTATCTCTGAGCACTTCATTTCATTCTGTTAATATATAGTTTTTAAGTATCTTTAATGTTAGTTAACTGTTTCAGGACATCATATCCTGGAGATCATAATTGTAGAAGTATGACAAAACCCAATACTCAGGCAGGGTATACTTTTCACAAAGAGAAAACATCATACAAGCACAGCACAAGTATTCAAACAAAACATGTCACTCTCTTGAATCAAGTTTGAAAAAAGATGAAAAATATTTCAATACTTCATGTCTTACTTCAATTAGACATAATTAAACAATTGCTACTACAAAATATTCTGTTGATAAAGGTAAATCTGAAATATTGCCAAACAGTAAGGGTAGACAGAGAGGTTTCCAGAAGATATGTGGTCTCTGCCAAACTGCACTTAAAAAAATGCTTCATTCCAAATTTTCCACTTAAATCGCCGGTATTATCACTTAAACAGGAAGAAAAGTAACCTAAACAGATCAAATCATGGAGGCAGTCAAGTGGTGCTGTAGAAATCTTTGAAAAGTTGATTTCAGGAATAAAAATTTTGTTTACTTCCTTCGAATGTTCTGAAAGAATCAGTACAGGAGGATCATGTAAGATAAACAGGTCTTCTTTCCAGAGATCTTCCTTCAAAATAGTAATTATAAAAACCCCTCTGCTTTCCTTGAGCTGTCTGTCCTTAGTTAATCATGCCTGTACCTTATTCTATAGGATTTTTAATGTGGCTACCCCTTTAAAACTACAACACAATTTCTCTGTTAACACCTCTACATTTATCTTTTATTTGAATTGGACACAGAACTGTAAGACATTCAAACTGAACAGGTATCAAAGTTGCCATAGCATTCACTCCTTATACTGCAAACTCCAGGACACAAATGGGATGGGGGAGTTGAACTTTTAACATTTTCAGTGTTGCATCTGAGAAGGTTCTCAGGTTCTGTTTTACAAGTGTTACCTTCCCTCACCACTACCGACATACCAATTACGGCTTCTGAGAAGTGCTAGGCTATTTATTTTGAATGGCTGGTATGACATACCCATGTATGCAATTTATTTTGAGCACTGCTTATAATTTTATTATAGCCAATCTAATCCTGAAAATTAATTTTACTGGAAAACATTAGTAGAAGGCCAGAAATATGCCTGGTTTTCTCCTCATCAAGCATTCAGTGCCTTACTTCTCATGGTTCTCTTCTAATAAAAAGCAAAATGTTATTTTTTTCTTTAAAAAAAAATTTAAAAAAAATTAAGTTCTGCATTTCAGTTAGTCATTTTAAACAAAGGAAAGTATGGCATGCCTCCCCAGAAAACAACTGTTTTGTAAAATTTTTCTTACAAAAGTAAACCAAATGCAACTTTTAACTGAATGCAATTAAGATGAACTACAAGAAATTAAAGATTTACTTAGTCAGTTTTTTAGACTTCACTTCCCGCAGATAAATACCCCCAAGGTAATTAGCACATTAGATTCAGCATGATTCTATGTTCTTTTTATAACATACCCAACTAAAAGAAAACAACTTGCAATATGAATTATGAACATTTTCTTAGAGTGCAATCCTTTTAATTTTACAGATATGTAACAATGGTGCAATATTGCACCATTGTTAAGAAACTGAAATATGAAATCTATAAAAGTTGCATTTTTTTAAAAATGGTTTTCAGGGAAACAATGCCAATTCCACTTCTAATGACGAACAGTTGATGACGTACCTGACTGAAAAATAGCCAGGAGGAGAGTTTTTAGAGACGCCACTTGTCAGGTGCAAGGTCTTATTTTTTATTTTGCACCATTTGCACTATTTTTCAAAATACCTTTTTATTTTCCTTTTCAAAAAGTAATTTAGCGGTCACTTCAATCCAAACATACAAACTAAACACCTGCAGTGCTCAGCTTTCTGAGAGGATCCATCTTTCATGATATGCAAAACAGAGGTACCAGCTGCTGGATCCCTAGTCACATGGGACAGAAAATAGGTAGTTGCACTTTTTTGGTCATAGTAAGAAGGCAGACATAGCCATGGACAGCAGCTGGACACCAGACCAATAGTTCATACCGCAGAGTTCCTCTTATTATGGAAATCCATTCAGGGCTTGACACAATCTCTTGAAATCAGCCAGGAGTTTTGACTCGGGCGTTAATTACCCAGACTCACTAGATACCTAAACACATAAACATGACGGCCTTTGTAGATGTTTATATTCTTAAAGCTCGGCACATATCTAAGAAGTAAATTCAGTGCCTTCATCTTTGTGCTTCAGTCTTATACCTGTGAAACACAAATATCTCTTGGCTACATTGCAAGGATGCAGAAGAGAGATACTTGTCAGTTCTTATCCTCCCTTAGTCCAGTTCAGCATGCGACACAATGAAGTTTCTGTTACCGGAATACAGGATCAGATTTCGTAGATACAGCATTTAGCAGATTTTTGCCAGAACTCTGGCAGTATGCTAACTGCAGGTAATCCTAAACGTCTTTTTGAACATAGCTTCATGTGCTATATAAGACTGTAAAAATAGGCAACTAATCACTGAAAATGAGGTTTTAATTCATGAACCACCTTCTCATGCTGCTATTTAGACTGCTTGTCTGTAAACTTTTTCTCTTACAGATGAGAAAAATTGCATCACATTGGATTTTCTCATACTGTCTAGCCATGAACAAAGTTCCAGACATTAAGCCTGTCTGTCTAAAGTAAAACCTGAGCCTTCCCCTTCAATGAAAAGTTTCTTAGTTCCCCTCTAAAACACTCAGCATATTCATTCTGCATAAAATGAATTATACATTCATACAAAGAGGTTAATTATCACAAAACATCACACAGCTTTTGACAAACAACTGACGGGGGGGGTCATGTACAGCTTAACTGAGAAAGCTGGTTACAAAACGTCAAAGTAATTGCCACCGGGAAAGTAAGTTTTACATAAGGTATAGGAGGAAAGACATCTTTCAGATGAATGTACAAACTTTATCTACTGACACTTAATGAGTTCAACTGCATAAATTGAATTCACGGTAAACAGCTAGCTGACTGTTGGTCTTAACTAACAGAAATTACAACCCTTCTCACTATAAAAGCTCTGGAGACATAGAATTCTTATTACTCATTTTTAGGTTTTTTTTTATGATTTGTAATTCTCACCAGTACTGATAATCAAAAATAATCCAGAAAAAAAGTTCCAAAAACTTACACTCAACTCTGCAAAAAATAAAACTGAATTATGTGCAAATAACTTCTCTGATTAAAGTATCATGAGAAAGTTTAGATTATTTTAAAAGTGTAGGCAAAAGGAAAATTATCTGTT